CTGATGACATAAACGGTTTAGTTATACCAACTGATTGATTGCTGTTTTTACTTAAAACAAATTCATTCGTTTGAATACCTAAATATGATTTCTCAACATTATAGTTGGAGAAACTATTTGAGTGATTAATAATATTGGACTGATTCAATGTAAATGACGCATTATATACGTCGCCTACATCCATGGAACTTGATTCTATATCAATTTTGTTAGTTACCATGGGAAGTTAAACATTAGTCACATGAATTTTTTCAGTCGTCGTATTTCTTTCTCCTTGTTAAATTTCATTTAAACTTACACATGAATATAATGTATCATCTTCTATTATAGTATTACTATCACTCTTGACACTTGTGTTAACAAAAAATTTACTTTTTGTAATAACGTTTTCATTTATAATTGTTCTTCTAACAGGCATCATATTTCTTCTCTTCATACGACTCCTACTTGAAAACAAAAGACTCGGAGAAGTTTTATTAGTGGACGTCTGCGCGAAAAAAGGATTAGTTCGTCTAATTAAAATAGGAGATGTTTCTTCTTCACTGAGAGACGATAAGTTTACTTCTAAATTATTTCCGATGTTAGCATCCTGCGATTCATACATATTTAAGATCTCATTTTGATTCAATTCTGTACACTCTGTAAAATTTGTATGTAACTATATTTTGTCAAATATCGTATCAATATTTATTTCTAAAAAGTAAACTGTGTTACCGGAATGATCTTTCTGCCGTACTAAAAGAGATTTTCTCAGATGATTTGTTTGGAGAATCATCTGCTTATTGACAGTTTTCTGTTGAGGCATTAGATCTTTATTGCGAGGAGACTTTTTGATTAAATTATCTTTTAATTGGTACTGTTCTGACCAAATACTAGCATGATCATGTTGTATTGATTTTTGATTCCATGCATTAGATTCATTTTGATTCTGAAAAATACCAATCCAAGCAATATTTGGTATTAGAATTAAATCTAGATAAACGTACAAACAATGTATTTCTATAAATAGTGATAATTACCTCCACCTTATCAGGATCAAAATTGTGAAGCACTTCTAAAGAAAATGGATCACAGTTTCCTAAAGCAAGTTGTAATGCATCGTCTGGATTTGTTTCTACGCCAGCATAATATAATTGCTCCTCTGTTGTGTCAGGTGAAGGTGGATTCAAGCGAACTTGTTTTCTTTGCAAAGGACAAAATACTAATTGATGTTTAAAAGTAATATCCGCCAATATAAATGCATCTCTATATTCTTTAGTTACAACTAGTGATTTCATCTTCAAGTAAGATCCCAAGTGAGTTAAAGCCTATAAAAATAATTGTAATTGATTTATATACATAACATTATGGAGATCAATAAAGCAACATACTCTGTATATATCACAGTCTGTATTTAGCATAATAAACCTTTTTGCTTTATTCAATCCGATACCGGGGAGGGAAGACAAATAATCACAGCCTGACAAAATGCACATATAACGAAAACTGTCCAAACTAAAATGTTCTGCTCGCAGACCCATGGAAAGATGCAAACGTTCTTGCTCTACCAAAAGACCATCACCATTTATATCCATTTTAAAAAACACCTAATAATATAAAGAAACATAAGTAAAAATAAAATTTGCATCATATGTTAATAATTTATACGCAATAAATCTACAAATTGAAATAATGAATAAAATATGAAGATATTTAAATTATAATAAAATTATATGAACCTTCTTGCAACCAAACAATATTAAGTCACTATCTTCTGTAATAACAACATCAGCAATTCCACTAATGTTTAAATATGCCAATTGTGCATCTGCTTCATACGGTGCAACAATGCAATCAACATTTATTTTTTGGCATTGTTTAATTAATTCTAAAGCCATTTCATGTGTAATATCTATAGATCTTCTTAATAAATTTCTTCCTTCAGCATCGTGTCCCATTTTTATTAACTCAATAGCTTTTCTACGATTCTTTTGTCTGGCTCTAAATGAAAAGTATAATATAAAATTACCTATTGTCTTGATTTAATAGATAATTTCATGTACTTGGGCTATTGGATCCATTGGGCTCAATGTAATTGGGAGATTAGATATTGCAAATAATTTAAAATAAGTATCGCAAACGTATAATATGATATCACAAATTACTTTCTTAAATTCTACTTAAAAATGAAGATACAAAATTGTCCATTTAATAAATACTGGAAAATTAAATTTCTCATACATACTCTCGTCGTTTATTTTCAGTTTGCGCTTTTGCAGGTAAATGTCGTCCGTCGAACACAAGAATTGGTTTAATTTTATGACTAAGTAACATGTATATCAATTTCATACAATAATGAACATATCTAAAAACAAATGACTATTATTCAATATACTGTTTTAATAAATGATAGTCAAACAATAACAGCATTCTTACGCGTCTGTCGGTTGTCCCATAAACAATTTGTCAGCACACGAAAAAACACCTTTATGCAACCAACAATAAGAGTCAATAGCAACAATACCACCAGCGAACTGGCCAATATCTGTTCTTTTTGAAGATTTTTCTAAGAAAGGAAGTAATCCGGTAATACCCATATTTAACTTTTAGCAAAAACACCAAACAATCATTGAAATAGTTGAGTTATTACATTAGACGTGTTCGCATCTTTCGCATTGCCGCCAAATTACATGTATTCAATGACTATGTATATATACATTACTAGTATGCTTAATGTGTGTAACAACACTCATATATGTATACATAGAGCGGACCACATCTTTTTTTCTTCACATACATATTGTGTTACACACGGATTTAAAATAATGTAAATATGTATACATGTATACGAGTATATGTATACATATGTATACATCTGTATGTATTTTAATTAAATTTTAAGACTTAAAATTACGTTTATATTAGTGCTGCGACAAACGGTAAGACCAAATAAATCCAATGATATAATATAATAATAAAATGTATATTTTTATAAGATAGTTTTGTAAGAATAGGATAATGTAAACATTGTAAAATTTAGAATGTAAACCAAAGTTTACATGCATACAAAACGAATAGATATGTACATTTGTATATCGTATATTTTAACAATACATGTATATCCAATTAAAGTAAATTTGCAAGCGTTTCAAAAAAAAGCAGCGCTTAAAAACATAACTAGTTCAACGTAAAACTAACACTACGTTAGGCACAGCGCGGCATTGCGTCAAAATTCGTAGGCCGTGCTCTCTCTCTCTCTCTCTCTCTCTCTCTCTCTCTCTCTCTCTCTTTCTCTCTGATGAATCATATATTTTATTAATGACTAATTAATAAAGCGTCAACCAACATTTTCACTAAGAAGAAGGTTACTTATAACAATTCAGGAATCACCCTTTCCAAGGGCTTACGACATTTTTGGGACATTATAGTGTACATGTACATACACATACATACACTATACATTATACATTGTATGGATATTGTGTATTAAATCTTTGCAATGCTTTGAATAAAGACCCTTTCGAAGTGCTTTGCACGCCATCTACCGTTATCTATTATGATTTAATACATTTAAATGATGTTTATTTTTTTTATACATCGTATGACACGAGTAAACGTTTGGAACTTTCTGTGAAACGGTTAAGTTGAATCATAATAATCAGTATTTCAATGATACAAACGTGGAAACTATTGTAAGGTGTATTGTAATCTTCGTTTACATGCGGTACAGTCATTGTGATGTGTATATACCATGTAGACGTATATGTACGTTATTCGCGTGAAACGAACTTTATAATTTAAAGGTAGGTTATATTCATTTTAAACGCAAA